CGTCGGGAAGTATTTACACAACCCTCCCCCCCTCCCCTCCCGGCTTACGGATAACACTTCCGCACCGGGAAGCGTTATCCCCGCACCGGAAGGATGATGTGGCCATCGCCTCAGCGACGAGCGCATTCGCTCCAAACACTGGCGAGAGTTTCGCAGATGGAGGGCGGCTCGTTGCTCTTCACCACCTACCAAACCACCCCAACCCAACCCGAAGGCCTCAATTTGCCCTCCATTTCCAGTGGGGGGGGGGTCGGGGAACGTTGAAAAAACACATGGAACCCGTACCCCCCCCAACCCGAAATTCGGGTCAAACTCGGGTCTTCGGGTTGGGTTGGGGTGGTCTGGTAGGTAGTCAGCTCTCGCCTCAGCGCTGCGCACACTCGCTTCAAACAAAAAAAATACTGCGCAAGCGTTTCGCGGGCGACGTGCGGCTCGTGGCTCTCGCCTCGGCGCCGCGCACGTGCGATTCAAGCACCCGCAAGGGCTTCGGGGACGGAGGGCGGCTCGTTTTTTTTTTTTTAAGTGTTGCGCTCTCGCCTCAGCGCCGCGCACGTTCGCTCTGTGAGACTGGGATCGGGGGTGGACAGACCTCCTACCCTGACACGTCGGTTGAGGAATCGGCCGTTTTCGGTTCGCGGGAGGGCGTCGCGGCCGTCATTTTTGCGGGTCCGGGTCCGTCGGTTCCGGTCCCAGGCCGCTTTCACTAAGGGGAGGTCTACTAAAGGGAGGTTTGTCCATCGCCGATGGGAAGAGCTCCACGGATAGAGGGCGGCTCGTTTTCAAACTGCTGATTTTGGTTCCGCGCCGCGCACGTTCGTTTTGAACATGTTGCAAGCGTTTCACGGATGGAGGGCGGCCCGTTTCCGAAGTGTTGCTCTCGCCTCAGCGCCGTGCACATTCGTTTTGAACATGTTGCAAGCGTTTCACGGATGGAGGGCGGCTCGTGTTGAAAATGTGGTTCCTGCTCCAGCGCCGCGCACGTTTGTTTTGAAACCGTTGCATGAGTTTCGCGGATTGAAGGCGGCTCGGTTTCAACATCTAGCTCTCGCCTCAGCGCCGCGCACATTGGTTTTTAAACACGTGCACGAGTTTCACGGATGGAGGACGGCTCGTTTTCAAAATGTAGTTCTCGCCTCAGCGCCGTGCTTATTCGTTTTGAAAACGTTGCAAGAGTTTCACGGGTTGAGGGTGGCTCGTTTTTTAAATGTTGTTCTCGCCTCAGCGCCGCGCACATTCGTTCCAACACCTTGCAGAGTGTTTCACGGATGGAGGGCGGCTCGTTTTCAAAGTGTGGTTCTCGCTTGAGCGCCGCTCAAGCCTTATGACCCCTATGAGCTCGATGAGCCCCATGTGCCTTATACTCCCTGCAAGCTCTATGAACTCCATGAGCCTTGTGAGCCACACGAGCCCCATGAGCCTTCTGAGCCCCATGACCCTTATGAGCATTATGAACCGTATGAGGCCTATAAGCCCTTATGAGTCCTACGGGAATTCTGTATTTGTCCACCATGGAAAGGTCGCCATGTTGGTTGGCATTGAAATCGAAGTTGGCCGTTAACGGTGACTAAGTAGATTTCGGGTGACCCGCCCGCGCGTGGGTCACCCGATCGTGTAGTGCCCACCATGGAGAGGTCGCCATGTTGGCATGGAAACTGAAGTGAAGCTTGAACGGTGACCAACTGGATTTCGGGTGACCCGCCCGCGCGCGGGTCACCCGATCGCGCTCGCGCGCAGCGCGGAAGCGCGCGTGGGGAGTTCTCTTTTGTCGACAATTGAACAGACGCCATGTCTGCTTTTGTCCACTGAAGTGAACCCTCAACGGTGAACCCTGAACGGTGAGAAAGTGGGAGGGAGAAGCAGGGACACCGAAACCACTTTCCTCTCCGATGTTCCCCGCTGCGTTGTCCGCGGGGTTGTGGGACATCTGTGAGGGGTGACTACTGCTCACTCTCATTGTCCACTATGCGTTGCGCGGAGAGCGTGGGAGAGAGGAATGTAGAGAGAGAGAGAGAGAGAGAGAGAAAGAGAGAGAGAGAGAGAGAAAGAGAGAGAGAGAGAGAGACAGAGAGAGAGAGAGAGACAGAGAGAGAGAGAGAGAGAGAGAAAGAGAGAGAGAGAGAGAGAGCGAGGGAGAGGAAGCAGCCACTGCCCTCACCATTTCCCCCCATCCCTCTTGTGTATGCAGGGTACGAGGGAGAGAGTGAGAGAGAGAGGACAACAACAACAAACAACCACTACCCCCTCCCATTTGGCGGAGAGAGAGACGGGAAGAGGACGAGCGTGCAGCAGAATGTCGGGTCAGGTACACCAAACGAAATATACCATGACCAGTCGAGGCGAGAGTTCGACAGAGAGAGAGAGAGAGAGAGAGATGATCCAACTAGCGTGTTCGGGGGGAGAGCGAGAGAAAGAGAGCGAGAGAGAGAGAGAGAGAAAGAGAGCGATAGAGACTCTCGGCCGCCATCATCACCATCGGCTTCGTCCGCGTCGCCATGGCCAGCACCACGCGGCAGAGCACCCCGTGCGGCACCGCGCCGCAGGCACCAAAAAAGCAAGGACACAAACGCGGGCACGCCGAGAGACGGGCGCGGGCGGCGGCGGACGGCGGGCCCCCCCTCGCACCGCGCCGCCTCGCCCCCCGATGCCCTTGGCGGGGCGGCGCGCTCCTCCGACCCCTTCTGCTCGGGCCCCGCCTGGGAGAGGTTCGATTTCTCTCTCCGCCTCCCCCCCCACCGCCCGCCCCTCCAGGAGGCGCGGTCCTCCGACCCCTCCCGCTCGGACCCCATCTCGGGGGCCTGGAGAGGAGGCTCCTCTCCAGGCCCCCGAGATGGGGTCCGAGCAGATGGGGGTCGGAGGATCGCGCCGCATCGCCGATGCGGCTCGATGCGGGGCCCGATTCCATCCACGCCGACGTCGCCGGTGCACTGCCGACGTCGCCGATGCGTCGGCGACGCATCGGCGATGCACTGGCGATGCATTGGCCATGCTGCGTGTTCCTCGACCCCATCTACTCGGAGCCACATCTAGGAGGCCCCTCCTCTCCTACCGTGGAGGCCCATGCCAAGAAGCACCCTGCTCGCCTCCAGGGTGCCCTGGGCTTCTTGGGCTTCTATGGCTCTGCAATGGAGGGCGTGACGTTCCCACACCAGGAATCAATGGACGTCCCGGGGTCTCAGGGTTTGGTTTGTTGTGGAAGGTTTCTTCTGAACTGGCCTCCGCTGTAGGTTCCCTCTCCGTCTGCCCCCTCCCCCGCCTCTCCTTCCCTAGCGGCGGTCTTGGGGTGTCTCTGGGCCTCTCGGGGACCTCTTGATCCGAGGAGGGAAAAGGTATCCATACCGCTACCACTCGGCCGCTTTTCCTCCCATTGGGCCTCGCGGGAGGCTCTCGTCGTCACCGCTGGATTCGCCTCGGGATTCTGGTCCGAACGTGCCCGGGAGAGGTCCAGGGAACAGCGGTGGTATCTTTACGTAGCACCCCGCAGATGCGGATAAGAGTGAGGGGGCGAAGGGGACGTCGGCAGTCTGCGAGACTCTGGAGAAGCCCGACGCAGGCGCCAAAGTTTGACAATTATGCAACGTGCCCGCCGCAGGCGTCGATTTTTCTTCAAACCAAGATGGATCGGTCGCGGGTGGCTCGCGGGTGGGTCGCGCGGGTGGGTCGCGGGTGGGTCGGGGGTGGGTCGCGGGGTGGGTCGCGGGGTGGGTCGCGGGGTGTGTCGCGGGTGGGTCGCGGGTGGGTCGCGGGGGGGACGACAACAACAACAACAACAGCAACAACAACAACAACACCAACAACAACAACAACATCAACAACAACAACACCACCAACACCAACAACAACAACACCAACAACAGCAACATCAACAACAACAACAACAGCAACAGCAACAACAAGCACAACAACAACAACAACAACGACGACACCAACAACAGCAACAGCGACAGCAACAGCAACAGCAGCAGCAAAATCAACAGCAACAGCATCAGCAACAGCAACAACAACAGCAACAGCAACAGCAACAGCAGCAGCAGCAGCAGCAACAACAATTTCAACAGCAACAACAACAGCAGCAACAACAGCAGCACCAACAACAACATCACCACCAACAACAAACACAACAACAGCACCAACACGAACAGCAGCAGCAACAACAACAACGCAACTAGCATAATCCTCACCATTGATTTTCGCTTCAGCCACTCACCCAGGGACAATGAATGACCGTTCGGACCCCTCACTCTGACCTTTCGGCTTCCCCACTTGCAAGCCTGTTGGGCTCCGATTTGGCCCCCTTGGGGGGGCGGGCCTCTCTGGAGCCTCCGAGGGACTTCTTCGGGGGGCCGGCTGGCTGTCTCGGAGAGGTCGTCTTGGGTCGGAAGGCTCGGAGTGTTGTTTCCGCGGCCCCTTTCCGGAACCTCTCTGGGCCCCACCCCCTTTGTGGGGCCCTCTTGGACCGTCTTGGGGGCGATCTTGGGCTGTCTTGGGCACCTCTTGGGCCCTCTTGGGAGCCTCTCGGGTAGTCTTGGGGCGATCTTTGGAGCCTCTCGGGCCGTCTTGAGGCGATCTTGGGAGCCTCTTGGGTCCTGGGGCATCCCCAGAAGTCTCCCATGTGGTCCCGTGAGGCCTCCAGAGGCTCCAGAAGAGCCGATGGCGTCCGAAATCTTTGACCTTCGACTCGACGACTACCGATTCTCGACCTTCGATCCCAGATCCCCGAACCTCGATCCTCTATCCTCGAAGTTCGATTGTCGAACCTCGACCCTCGAACCTCGAGCCCCGATCCTCGACCCTCAAGCCCCGACCCTCGACCCTCGAACATCGATCCACGATTCGTCCTGGATCCTCGAATCTCGAAGCGCGACCTCGATCCTCGACCCTCGACCCTCGACCCTCGACCGTGGGACGCCGAGGCCGCGCGCGCGGGGGGGGTCGCGCGGAGGGCGCGGCCGCGCGCGCGCGCGCCCGAGGAGATGGGCGAGCTGGAGCTGTTCCGGTGCCCCCCCCTCCTCCCCTCCTCGAGGCTCCTCCTCCTCGGTCTCCTCGTCCCCGCTCCCTTTCCCCTCCCTCCTCCTCCGCCTCCTCCTCCTCCTCCTCCTATCCTCCCCTCCTCCCCCCCCCCTCCCTCCCCTCCCCTCCCCTCCCCATCTCCTCCTCCTCCTCCTCCCTCCTCCTCCGCCTATCCCTCCCTCCCTCCCCTCCCCTCCCCTCCCCTCGCCTCCCCTCCCCTCCTCTACCCCTCCCCTCCCCTATTCCTCTTCCTCCGCCTCCTCCTCCTCCCCCTCCCGCCGGTCGGTCGGCCCTTTCCGTTCTTTCCCAACCATCTTGCGGAAGTTGGTCTTCGTTTTGAAGAGACAGTTCCTGCGTCTTTTTCTTTCCTTCCTCCTTCCTCTCCCTCCTCCCTCCTGCCATCCCTGCCTCTGCCCTCCACATGTCAACCTGTTCGGCCCACCACTCACACGTTTCGCGGCTCCGTACGGAGCTCCACCGAAGACCTCACTGGCAAAGTTCACATGCTTTTCCCCGCCTTTTTTTACACCCCTCACACGTTTCGTGGACCCATAGGGAGCTCCACCGAAGACCCCAGTGGTGAAGTCCTCAAGCGGTTCCCCGCCCATTTCGGCACATCCCTCACACGTTTCGTGTCTCCATAGGGAGCCCCTCTGAAGGCCCCAGTCGCAAAGTCCACATACGGTTCCCCGCCCATATCGGCACACCTCTCACTCGTTCTCGCGGCCCCATAGGGAGCTCCACCGAAGGCCCCAGTGGCATAGTCCACATGCGGTTCCCCGCCCATTTCACACCCCTCACACGTTTCGTGGACTCATAGGGAGCTCCACCGAAGGCCCCAATGGCAAAGTCCACATGCTGTTCCCCGCCCATTTCGGCACTCCCCGCACACGTTCCGCGGTCCCACAGAGCTCCACCGCAGGCCCCAGTGGCAAAGTCCACATGCTGTTCCCTGCCCATTTCGGCACCCCCCGCACACGTTTCGTGGCCCCACACGGAGCTCCACTGAACGGCCCCAGTGGCCATGTTCTCATGCGGCCGCCCCGCCCATGTCGGCACACCCCTCACGCGTTTCGTGGCCCCATACGGAGTCCACCAAAGATCCCAGTGTCAAAGTCGACATGCGGTTCCCCGCTCATTTGCTACATTCTTCAGACGTGCCGTGGCCTAACGTTAAGCTCCACCGAAGGTCCCATTGGCAATCTGTACATGCGGTTCCGCGCTCATTTCGGCACAACCCTTGCACGTTTCGTGGCCCCAGAGGGAGCTCCACCGAAGGTCCCAGTTGCGCAGCCCGCATGTGTCCGCCCCGCCCATTTCGGCACACCCCTCACGCCTCACAGAGAGCTCCACCGCAGGTCCCAGTGGCGCAGTCTGGACGCGTCCCTCTGCCCATTTTGGTACTCCCCGCACAATCTTCGTGGCCCCACACGGGTCTCCACCGAAATGCCCTAGTGGCCATGCTCGCATGCGGCCGCCCCGCCCATGTCGGCACACCCCTCACGCGCTTCGTGGCCCCATGGGGAGCTCCACCGAAGGCCCCAGTGGCCTTGTTCGCAAGCGGTAGCCCCACCCATTTCGGCACACCCCCCACGCGTCTCGTCACCCCATAGGGAGCTCCACCGAAGGCGATACTCACACCGACAGTACTCGCAACTGCATGTGGTCGTTTTTTCGCCAGGCTACTGTTGTTCGGGCGCTGATCGAAGAAGAACACATTCTATAAAACATACGTTTTCGACAGTTCGCGCTGATCTCTTTGGTCGGCGCCTGGGCCCCATGGCAGCGCCGGCCTTGGCGCTCCGTTCGCCAGGGAGGGGGGGTCAGCGCGGATCCAAGAAATCCGCGTGGAGCGTCGACAGTTTATGTGCGGCTTTTCCTCTAGCCGAGAGAACGCCCACCCAGACAAGTCGACCGAGAAAGTCTGCACCAGTTCATTCGACGTTGGCATTGGAGCGTGTCGATTCAGTATGCAGTCGGTTTCGCTAATCAACGTGACTGTTTCGCTGATACCATTTGTTTGGTCGATCGGCTACCCAACTGGGGTCCACTCGGAAGGCATGGCCGTGCGCACATGGAGGGCCCCTGGGAGCTTTCACCAAAGGGCATTTTGCTAAAGGGTGTTCTGTAAACCTTCGATTTCTGTCTGTTTTTTTTTTTTTGTCTGTTTTCGGTCATGGCCAGAAGGTTCATGGGCCTCGTGTGCGTTTCCCGACCAGCCCGTGGTGTTGGGTGGACTGGTCCCCGCCTCTCGCACTCTGGGCCCGCGGCGTGGGGCCCGCGGGGCGCGCAGGTGCACGTACCCCATGGACGACCGCGCCTTCCTCTACCTGAAGGAGTGCGCGCAGGAGGCCGGTGCCCACACCCTCGACCGATGGGCGGGTTTCCCGCCACCACTACCACAGGTAGGACGGGGGAGAAGGGTGGATGACGAGGTCCTCCTCCTCCTCCTCCTCCTCCTCCTCCTCCTCCTCCTCCTCCTCCTCCCCCTCCTCCTCCTCCTCCTCCTCCTCCTCCTCCTCCCCCTCCTCCTTCCTCTCCTACCCATGGTAGTGGTGGTGGAACATGGGCCCATCATCGACCTCCTGCTCCCCGCCCCCCAGCGAAGGTAGTTGTCACATCCCGAGCACGCTCGGCCTCTCGTTTCCCAGGCCGATGCGGCCTTCTCGGAGGAGCTGGCCGGCCTTCCGATGCCAGCGATTCGGATGACTCCATGTGATGCCCGTCGTTGACCATCAAGCTGCTGTCGACCTCTGGATTCGCTCCCCAAGGGTCTACTACCAACACCTACCACCACCCAGAGTTCATTTGCGCCCCAATCAGCCTTGCCTAGGGGGTTCTTCTACAATCGGTGGGTGCGCACCCTCAGAATTCAAAGGGAGAACACATGCGGTGCAATCTGTGTCGTTTAAGCTATGGGGTGCAATCTATGGAGTGCAATTAACCTTTGACCGTTTTGAAGCTGTCCACTCCACTGCTCGCGCAAACATCCCACCCACCCACCCGCAACTTGGTTTGCAAAATCTCTTAAGACCGTGACGGTGGGTACCACATGGCACTTGGCAACACCAGCGACGCCGACGACGACAGCGACAACGACGATGACGACGCCGCCGACAACGACTACGACGACACCGACGACGTCTCCAACGACTTCGACGACGCCGACAACGACGACGACGACGACACCGACGACGACGACGACACCGACGCCGACGACGACGACGATGACAACGACGACGACGATGACGACGCCGACGACGACGATAACGACGACACCGACGACGACGACGACGTCAACGACGCCGACGACGACGACGACGACGCGGCGACGACGACGACCCGACGTCGACGACGACGAAGACGACAACGACGCCGACGCCGACGACGACGACGAAGACGACGACGACGTCGCCAACGAAGACAACAAGGATGGAGGACGACGACGGCGACAACGACGTCAACGACGAGGGAGGAGGGAGGACGGCGACGACGCGAACGACGAAGAAGGAGGAAGGACGGCGACGCCGACGACGGCAACGACGAGGGAGGAGGGAAAACGACGACGACGACAACGACGACGACGACGACGACGACGACGACGAAATAGGAGGGACGACGACGAGACGCCGACGACGGACGACGACGACGACGAGGGAGGAGGAGGAAGACGACCACGGCGACAACGACGACGGAAACGACCACGACGCCAAAGAGGACGACGACGACGAACACGAGGAAAGACAGAGGACGACGTAGGCGACGACGACGACGACAACGACGCGGGAGGAGAGAGGACGGCGACGACGACGACGACGCAAGAGCGCGCGCGCACGCTTTTGTTGAAAATCCGTGTTGCGAAACCTTGTGTTTTTGTAGGTTTTTTGGACACACGGTTTTGAAATCCTTCCGAAACCGATGGGTTTTGAAGGTTTTCGGCATACGCGCGCGAGGACGCGCGCGTCTGCTCTTCGTCCTATTTTTTGCAGGGGATTCTCGCGACGGCACACGCGCAAGGGCGTTCGACAGATTTCGACATGAGCGCGCGCGAAGCCCGTTTGGTAGCATTTTGTGAAAATCTTGAAAAACCTATGGTCTTCTTAAGATTTCGCAAGAGCTTTCGCGGCAGCTTTTTTAGCAATTGTGTGTTGCGAACCCCTGTGTTTTTGTATGTTTTTTTTTTGGAAACTCGATTGGGAAATCCTTCCCGCCTAGAAGGTTTTTGAAGGATTTTGGCATGCGCGCGACGACGCGCGCGTATGCACTTCGTTTCATTTTTTTGCAAGGGGTTCGCGAACAAGTGCTATGTTAGAACAAAACATGTCACCGCATAGTGCTTTTTTACAAGGGAACCTCAGGGGGGGGGACACCGGCCTCGCTGGGATGTTATGATTTCATATTTAGGATGGGCGAGTGTGCAGAAAATACATGAAATCATATTATCCCAGGGGGAACCGATAAGTCAGGGGGGGGGTATATTCTCTTTTTAGAAAGGAGAATTCACCCACGCTTCCAGTGAGTTGTTAATTTCACTGCTCGCACAACCTTCCCACGCACCCACCCGCAACCCATGCGACGGCGATTGCGATGAGTGTTTTGCGTTGGCTGGTACATCTCTGCGGCCGCGCTAGCCCGCGCGTGCTCGCGCGCGCAGCGGCCAGCTAGTGCGGCGCGGCCGACGCGGCCGTAGCGCTGTCCGCTGGGCATTTCCCAGCGGGCACTTCAGAGCGAGTCGGTGACTTGGGCGGGCGTGGTACCATGGCGACGCCGGCAACGGTAGACACGATGATGAGAGTAGCGATGATGGTGACGATGGTGGCGATGACCACTGCAAGGCCAATGACGGCGCCGATGTGGATCACGCCCGTCAGTGATGACGATGTCCTCGCGTCGGTAGTGCAAGTTTTCGAAGGAGTGCGACGTTCGCGCGCGGCCGACATTTCTGAGCGGCTTGCGTGATATTATTTAACACGGATCGTGCCCCCCGGGCACGCGCGCAAAGACGTTCGGATGAGTTCGACATGCGGCGCGAGAGGCCCGCTTTGCAAAATTTGATGACGATGTCGAAGCACCTGTTGTTTTCAGGACAATTCGCAAGAACGCGCGCGCAGTTTTTTTGTTGATTTGTTTTTTTTGTCTTTTTGTTAACGGGGAGCGGATGTTGCAAAACCAAGTGTTTTACATGTTTTCGAGGCTTTCGTTCTTGACATCACTACGACTCCCAAGGTTTTGAAATATTCTGGCATGCGCACGCGTCGTCGCGCGCGTGTGCACGTCGTCCCGTTTTTTGGTCAAGGATTCTTGCAACAGCACGCGCGGACGGGCGATCGAACGATTTCGGCATGCGCGCGCGAGAGGCCCGTTTGGTAAACAATTTGCTGTTATATGGAAGAACCCATCGTTTCTTAAGAACCTGCCAGAGTACGAGAGCAGACATCGGCCCCTCAGTTCGATCGATCGGTCCTCCTCCTCTTCCTCCTCCTCCTCCTCCTCCTCCTCCTCCTCCTCTTCCTCACCCCCTCATCCTCTTCCTCCTCCTCCTTCCTCCTCCCTCCTCCTCCTCCCTCCTCCTCCTCCTCCTCCTCCTCCTCCTCCTCCTCCTCCATATCCTCCCCCTCATCCTCCTCCTTCCTCCTCCTCTTCCTCCTCCGCCTCCTCCTCCTCCTCCCTCCTCCTCCTCCTCCTCCCCTCCTCCTCTCCCTCCTCCTGCCCCTCCTGCTCCTTCTCCTCCTCCTCCTGCCCTCCCGTCCTGGTCCGCGAGGTGCGCCGGCAGGTCCTCGACGGCTTCTCTCCCCCGAGGGCGGACGACAAGGACGCCGGCCTTCCTGGGCGGGGGGAGGCGGCGGGGTCCCTCGCCCCCCGCCCCGGGGGGGGGGGTTGTCGGGCTTCGGGGGCCTCGGCGGGCACAGGAGGTGGCCGGATACGGTCGAGGCTGACTCCCATCGGGCCGGACGGAAGGGGGGGATTTGGAAAGGGGGGTTGCGAAATCTGCTGCATGCAGCTGGTTTCGGCCCCACCGAGGGGCCCATTCCTCGATACATGGCCTCCGGCGCCAGGAGGCGCCGGGAGAATCAGCTGCGCGAGCTGACTCTCAAACACCCCCTTTGCTATCCCCCCCTTTCGCCCGACCCGATCATAGGTCGGCCCTGCCTCATCAGGGGTACATCGAAGAAGGAAGCAGCGGCATAAGCATAAACCTTTGGCGCTCCGAGCGGAGTTCTTGGATCCGCGCTGGGGCCCCCTTGGCGGCGCCCCCGGCGCTGCCCCTGGCGCGCTCCACTCGCCAGGGATGGGAATCTGGCGCAGATTTCCGAAATCCGCGCGGAGCGCTACAAGTTTATGTGAATGTCGCTTCTCTTCTTTCAATCAAGGGCACACGCCAGTCGCGAGGACGTGTAAAGCATTCTTCTGCGTCGTGCTAGATAGATTATCCCTCAGGCTGGCGGCAGCCACATCTACACGTTCTGTGATTTGTTGAAGACTGTATCGAAAGCCGCTTCGATATCGATGTACTTGGCTGTTGCCCCGCTGCGTCTGCTAACTGTGTCATTCGATACGTCGGCGATATTTCGTTCTCCTGCCCAGGGATGCCTTTTTGGTTGTGCTCCTGATTTTTCAGAGGTTGTGTTCATCATTATTGTAAGTGTTGGGGCCGAGGACCATGAGTAGCAGTGAGCTTGAGCGGCAGCCTTACTGGTTTTGCCTCCTTCTCCCTCTTTTCCGTGCCCCCGATGCGCGTTTTGGGGGCATTTTTGCTGCGTTTTGCATGCTGCCATGCGTTTCTAGCTGCCCACAATGCGCGGAGGCTGATGGTGGCGGGGGCCCCTTCCGAGCACTTCGAAACCCGTCTTCGGCTGACGACTCCTCGCCACCGCGCTCTCGCTGAGGCATGATCGCATCGACCTTCCGACATGATTCTTCATTTAAGGGTGCGTCGAAATATTGGTGCCCCTTTCTACTCATGAGGCGATACGTCCGAGGGCTCCCAGTTCTCCCCGAGGTAGTTGGGTACCTCCCCACGATCAGGGGTTTCTACCAGGATGGACCTCAAAAAGATATTAACTTGGGTTTATACTGTTGTGGAATTATTGACCAGGGTTCAGAACATCTCGCCCGGAACATTAAGAACCTGGGTGCCAATTTTCTGTGAATATTGGCTGGGGTTGATAATGTTCCCCCCAGAACGCTAATCTTGGTGTATAATCTTCTGGGGATATCGACTCCAAAAACATATTAACCTGGTATCCTAATTTTCCAGGAATATTGACTGGGGTTTATAATGTCCCGGGAATAATGAACCCGGTTCTTCGTAATTCCGGAATGATGATGATAATCATGTTCCCCCCAACCCCCGGGTTCCCCACCAGGTTTTTCATGTCCCGACATGGACCCCGGTTTACTATCTCCAGGAGATAATAAATCCAGATTCGTAATGTTTCCGGAAGATTGTGACCCCGGGTTAGTTTGTCTGGAATGATAATGATTGAGCCTGGGGGGCGCCGTTTGAGAGTACGTTCCGGACTAAAAGAACGTTCCGGACTGAAATAAACCTTGGTCCATAATGTTGGAATAGTAAACTTAGTTTGATTATGCCGGAAAGATCTGATTCGGCCGGGGGGGGCTGAGCCCGATCCATTCACAGGATAATAATCCATAGGATATCATCTGAAGGTGATGAACCTAGGTTTTCATCCTTAGATAATAAGCCACGGTCGACGATGATTTCACACCTACCCTCGTTTCTACATAGCTGCTATGTGGTTCCTGTTATGACCTAGTTTCGTCAGTACTCTGTCGCGTGGCAGACCACCTTCATTCCAATAACGTGTCTCGATAGGAACATAATTCCGGGAACAAGCAAGATAACAGCATTGAAGCCCGCCACAACAACATTGAAGCCCGTTGCAGAAAGGATGGCGCCATAGGCGCCATCCTTTCTGCACATTCCACAACGCATCCGCCGCGGGCGCGGGTTCTCTTTGCGTTCGAATAAAGCGGGTGGGTCGCGGGGTGGTCGCGGGGCGGTCGCGGGCGGGTCGCGGGTCGGTTGCGGGCGGGTCGCGGGTGGGTCGCGGTCGGGCCGCGGGCGAGGACGACGACCGCAACAACAAAAACAGTGATCCTCACCGCAGAATCCCATGCAGGCGCGCACCCAGGGATGGTGCAAGAGCGTCGCCCCCTTACTCTGATGTCCACATCCACCGGCGTCCAAGCCACCAAACAGGCAAACCGCTTGAGACATCGCGGCTCCTCCTCGGGGTGCCGAAATTAACACCAGCGCCTCGCACGAAACATCTTCAGATTTGGTTTGGAACCGCCGAAGTCCAAGCCACCAAACAGGCACACCGCCCGAGATATCCACCCCTACTGCCACCAAGGGGCGCGAACCGGCTAATGTCGCACCCCTTGGCGGCCCTCCTGTGGGGTGTTCCTCAAATGCCACGTCAGCTGCATCGCGATGGGCGCGTTTATCTGAAAACAGAAAAGCCCAAACCACCGAACAGGCAAACCTCTTGGAGACATCCCCGCGTTTTGGGCGCGAGCGGGCACTTGTCGTACTCCTCGTGGCTAATCCTCGGGGTGCTGAAACCAGAACCAGCCGGCGAAATCCAAGCGACCAAAGAGGCAAACCGCGTGAAACGTCCCCACAATTTGGGCGCGAACGGGCAGATGGCCCACCCCTTGGCGGCCTTTCTGGGTGCTCAAGTGCCACGCCTGCTACATCACTACGAGCGCTGGGTTTTGAAAAGATAGAAGCTCACGCCAAAAATGGGCAAGCCGCGAACGGGCAACTGGTATCCCTGGGGGCCCCTCTTTGGGGTGCTCAAGAGCCACGCCCGCTACATCGCGATGAGCATGAGGCTCTGGAAAGAGAGAAGTCCAAGCCACCAAACAGGTGAACCGCATGAGAAATCTCCACGCTGTGGGCGCAACCGTGCTACGAGTGAGTCTGATCACCACTGAACATGCGAGTGAGTCTGAGCGTGGGTGGTTCTGAGTGCGAGAATCTGAGTGCGAGTCTGTCTGAGTGGGATGAGTGATCTTAACTATTTGTGAGTCTGAGTGATGGCGAGGAATACGAGGGAGGAGAGGTGGGTCGGAGGCGTTCGAGAAACACCCAGAACCCCCACTATAGGATATGGAGTACAAACATTCCATTTGACGACAGTGAAGAATCCCCCCCCTCAGGGTGCCGAATCCACTGGTTGTGAGTGAGTCTGAGTGTGTGCGGGAGTCTGAGTGTGATAGTCTGAGTGCCAGTGAGTGTGGGTGTGAATGACTATGCGTGTGAGTGAGTCTAGGTGTGAGTGAGTTTGAATATGAGTGCCTGAGTGAGTCTGAGTATGATTGAGGCATGAGTGAGCCTAAGTATGAGTGAATCTGAGTACCAGTGAGTTTGAGGGAGGGTGAGTCTGAGCATGAGTGAGTCTCCGTGAGGAAGAGGACAAGCAAGGATCGGAAGAAGGAGAGGAAGGAGGGAGGAAGGACGGAAGGACGGATTGAAGGAGTCATAGGCGTCTAAGCAACAGCACGAACCCTACCTCAGGATATGAGGAATATCGGCTTGCAGTCTTTGGGCGTACATTCGACGCGGGTCCCCGGACACCTCCCGGAGCCCCCCATTGGCCGGCTTCTCGAGCCGCGTCCAGCCGCCCAGTCGACATGACAAATGTTCCCCCAGCAGGACTGGCAGGTGTGCCGTCGTTTGTCCTGCTTCGCTCTCTCCTCCTTCATACCTCGCCGAGCCAAGGGATCGCCAGGCACCGCGCCAGTTCATGACGCTGAGCACCCCGATTTTGCCCCGGCTCTCCCCTCCCAATCGCCCCCTCCTGCAACCCCCCATCTTCTCGCCGAGTCAATTGATCACCAGGATCCACCCGCTCCTCCCAACCCCATCCTCGCCCACTCCTCGCCGAGCCCTGCCCGCTTCAAGCTGCGTCAGCGAGCAGGGCGCTTGCCTGGTGCGTTTCGGCCCGCAGTGTCCTCTCGCGCGCGGTCCCTTCAGTGTCATCCCGCCTGCTGATCCTGATCCTGATCTTCCACGACAAGCGACGGCTTCGTCGTCGTCGCCGTCGTCGTCGTCGTCGTCGTCGTCGTCGTCGTCGTCGTCGTCTCCGTCGTCCGTCGTCCGTCGTCGTCGTCGTCGTCGTCGTCGTCGTCGTCGTCGTCGTTCGTCGTCGTTCGTCGTCGTCCGTCGCCGTCGCCGTCGCCGTCGCCGTCGTCGTCGTCGTCGTCGTCGTCGTCGTCCGTCGTCGTCGTCGTCTGTCGTCGTCGTCCGTCGTCGTCGTCCGTCGTCGTCGTCCGTCGTCGTCGTCGTCGTCGTCGCCGTCGCCGTCGTCGTCGTCCGTCGCCGTCGTCGTCGTCGTCGTCGTCGTCAGTCTTCGTCGTCGCCAGTCTTCTGGGAGGCGGCGGCCGGGCGGCCCCCGCCGCCGAGCAGTCTCGGCAGGACTTCTCGGCCCCCGTGGTGGGGTTCGCCAAGCTGCTGCGGGCGCGCGCCGCGGAGGCGCCGAGGGGGGGGAGGTCCGAGGATCGAGGCTCGGGAGGCTCCTCCTCCTCCTCCTCCTGCACCTCCTACTCTTCCTCTCCCTCCTCCTCCTCCTCGTCCTCCTCCTCCTCCTCATCATCATCATCATCATCATCATCCTCCAGATCCTCCACTTCCTCCTCCTCCTCCCTCATCCTCCTCCTCCTTCTCCTCCGCTTCCTCCCCCTCCCCCCTCCTCCTCCTCCTCCTCCTCCTCCTCCTCCTTATTTTCAGAATGCCATGAACATGGATGGTCGAGGATTCGGGGTGCTTGAGCGGGCCCCTCGGGCCTCCTCGTCCTCCGGGAGGTCCGAGGCGCTCAAGTCACGCTGCCCTCTCAGGCTGCAAGCAGTGGCGAAGCGTCCTGGTTTGCCTACAGGGCCCGAAGAACATGTTCCAAGAACCTTTTGTGCTCTGCACGACGTGCTCTGAGAACATGTCTGACCGATATTGTTTTGTTTTATCGCATCGGGTCTATGTTCAAAGAACATCGTCTCGTTCTTAGAACACTGCTTTGTTGTAAGACCACGTCGTGGCAGGCCTATGGGAATGCCGGGACGGTCGGTCCCTGCTGAAAGGGTGGTTCCGCGACCTTGGCGACTCCACCCGGCCTGTGGTGGCCGAGGCCACTGGCGTGGCGGAGCCTCGTGCGGACTTGCCGACGCAGGTCTGGGAGGAGAGGGGTGCGAGGGGGGAGTGGGCGTCGGAGAAGGAACGGGTACCAACACTGCTACCCTTCGGCCGTTTTCCCCTTGTTCGGCCTCCTGGGAGGCCCTCGTCGCCACCGCTGGATTCGTTTCGAAGTCCTGGTCATAACGCGCCCCAGGAGAGGTCTGGGGAGCAGCGGTATCGGCACCTTGTGGTTTCCCCAGTTCGAGGGTCGAGGAGCATGGAGGATCGATGAGCATCGAGGAGTGTCGAGGATCGAGGAGGATCGAGGTTCGGAGGTCCAGGAGGGGTGGCAAGGTCGAGGGTCGAGGATCGGTTGAGGATCGGGGAAGGAAGGAAGGATCGAGGATCGATGCGGATCGGGGGTGGAGGATCGCGGGGGGGGGCAGGAGGGAGTTGGGGGGGGCAGCGGATTCAGGATCAGGGAGCATCGAGGATCGCGCGGGGGGGCAGGGGAGGATGGAGGGGGGAGGAGGGCGGAGGAGTATTTAATACTTCTCGGTGAGAGTACAGGGAATCAAGGATACAGGAGGAGTCAGAGGAGGAGGAGAAGGCTCGATGAGGTTGCTGGACGTTATTTGCAGTCCAAGTTGCGGAACAAAACACGACATCGGAGGTTATAGTGAGGATCACTTCGAGTTGGCAGCGCTCCAAAGGGTGCGTGTCGAGGGGCGGTCTTCTCAGATCGCAGGGTGCTTCTAGGCCGGGTTCGAAGACTTAGAAGGCTTCTGTTAGAAGCCAGGAGACTGGGTAACGGATCGTGCGCAGTGTGTCAGCATGCGGTGCGCATCAAGGGTAGGAGAGGTGGAATTATTCGTCGTTCGGTCAGTCGTTCCAATGTTTGTTCATGTTGGCGCGAATTTGGACAACAGACCTCTCGTATTTCTTGGTGCTTCGCTCTCGGCAGACGGTTGGATGGGATCCGAGCTAGTGCTTGGAGCAGCGAAGGGTGCATTCAGGAAATCACATGCGTATTTGGTTTTTTACCTGACCCTGCAAAGGTGTCGGCGATTATAGGTATTGCGTATCGTTTGCTGCTTGCGGTCGTCCCAGGGAGGCACCAGGGCAATCTTGCGTCGCCTAATTTCGGAGGCCTAGAGGTTGACGCCAACACCAATATCCGCGGTGTGCTTCCACCGAGGGAAGATGATCCCAATCTTGGTCATGGTGGTAATATTCGGGCTTCCTAGGTGGCCGAAACATTACCGCCAACACCGAAATCTATAATCGTCTTCCCCCTGTGGAGACAAGCCCCCTGTGTTGGTGTTGGTGCCCATTCCCAAGCCTCCATCAATTGCTGAGACATTGCCGGTTCCCGTGGACGCCTGGCTGGTTAGTTCCGCCCAGGAGACGGTGCACCCTGCGGTTGTGGAGGTGGCAGTTGCGGCTGGAAGCGGTTGTTCACGCACCGAGTGGTGCAATGACTTCTCGTTCGTGCGCTGATAACTAACTACTCGAGGCGATGCCTGCGAGGAGCACGGGTGCGGCTGGTCACATGGCTGTGGAGGTGGACAGATGTCCCATCCTTCCACAGCTCGGTGCACGCGTGCTCGGGGCACTCGTCCCCGCAGTGTGTGCGCTGTGCAACGCCTGTGGAACGATTCCAGCGTGTCCCGTCCGCCACACAATAGCTTATTGTAAGCTCTGCGGGGCGATTCCAGGCGGCACCCGTGGTCACGACCTGCTGCGCAGCCAACCGGCGCGAGCTATGGCCGTAGCAAATCCTCGAACCATCAGGCTCAAAACATAGGCAACCGTGTGGCGCAACGTATGGGCGCAGTTTTTTGGCCACGCAAAGTCATCGAACCATCATGCCTATTTCCTTGGAGGTTTCGACGGGCCCCCCCTAGGTGCAAACAGTGATTGGTGCGATTCTTGACGCGTCGCGTATCCCCACCAGCCCGTCCAGAAGCGATTTTTAGGCGAGTTGCTTTGATCAGAGAAGTCTAGCACCATGCAGTGGAGCAGCCGCTCCGAAGGATCCATTGTTGGGTCGTCTTGGTGCCCTCTTGGGCTGCTCCTGGAGCTCCCCTGGGACCCTCTTGGGGACATCGAGGAGTAGGACAAGGAGGAGGAGGCGGAGAAAGATACGGAGGAGGAGGAGGACGACGACCAGGGCAAGGACGAGGATGATGACGCGTACAATGATGATGATGATGATGATGATGATGATGATGATGATGATGATGATGATGATGATGATGATGATGATGTTGACGATGATGCTGATGATACTGATGATGCTGATGATGTTGATAATGATGCTGATGCTGTTGATGATGCTGATGATGTTGATGCTGGTGATGGTTATGATGGATATGGTCATGGTGATGTTGATGACGATGCGTGTGATGATAATGATGATGACGCTAGTGGTTATTATGATGCTGCTGCTGACGATGATGCTGATGATGCTGATGATGCTGATGATGGTGCTGATGATGATGATGATGATGCTGATGATGATGATGTGGCTAATGATGCTGATGATGACGATCAGGACAATGGCGACGATGCGGTTGATGACGATGATGCTTATGCGGCCGTTGTTGTTGTCGTTGTTGTTGATTTGGCTGTTGTTGTCAGTGATATTGACGCTCTGGATGATGTGACGATGATGATGCGAACGATTATGATGCTGATGCTCATGATGCTGATGATGCTCATGATGATGACGATGATGCTGATGCTGATGATGCCGCTGCTGATGATACTGATCATAATGGTGACGCTGATGATGCTGATGATGCTGATGATGAGGATGATGAGGATGGTGATACTGATGATGCTGATGCTGATGATGATGCTGCTGATTATGATGACGCTGATGATGCTGATATGCTGCTGCTTCTGCTGCTGCTGCTGCTGCTGATGGTGATGATGCTGATGATGAGGAGGATGAGGATGAGGATGATGAGGAGAAGGAGGACGAGGAGGAGGAGGAGGAGGAGGAGGAGGACGATGAAACCGAGGACGAGGACGAGTACGAGGAACGCGAAGACGAGGAGAAGGGTGGAGAACGAAGACAAACACTCTTGGAGCCATCTGTGAGTCTTATTGTGTTCCTCTTGAGGTTTTGGGTCCTCTTGGGGCCCTCGTGGAAGGTTCTGGGGTCGTCATGGGGCTCTTTGTAGGTGTCTTTGGGCTCTCTGGGGGCCTTTTGGGAGCCCCAGAGGGCCTCTTCGGGCCATCTCTTGTAGGGCGTCGCTCGTCGATCAGAAAAAGGGATCCCAGATTTGCCTCCCCTCAGGAATGCTCATAAGCGCCTCCTTGGGCGCTCTTGGGGCGCTCTTGGGCGCTCTTGGGGCCGTCGTGTCGTTCTCTGTGCCACATTGAGGCTTCAGAAGCCCATTGGAAGCGATACAGCGAGAAGGCACACAACATTGCTTTTCCTGGAATGTTTGAAGGATTCGGACCGCTTGGGGTGGGGTCCGTGGTGGGATCTACGCGCATTTGCAACCATCTTGTGGCTCTCTCGGAGCCTCTTGGAGGCATGATGGAGGCCGTGTTGAATCATGCTCGGCTATCTTGAGCCATTGTGGAAGCCATCTTGGAGCATCGGAGGCCTCCTGGAGCCATCTGGGACCAGCTTGGCCGCTTTAACCCCTCGCGGCGGGGCCCGAAAAATCTCAGGGAGTGGAGGGGGAGGGCGTCCCTCCCAGAAGGGGAATGGGACAACTCATCAGAACACCTACGCCCAGAGGGCTGGTGGAATATGTCGTCGATCAATGCCAGCAGGCGGCACATGCCGATCGCACTCCTGGTGCCTTCGCAGGGCCTGCCTGGCTGCCCCGTTGGCCACCTGCCCCTCGCTGGTTCCTCATCTCTTTTTTGTCTGTCTTGACTCTGTTTGTCTTGTTTCAGGAGGAAAAGGAACACTTCAGCTACAATTAATCGTCGATTCCCCCAAACATATGGGAACATATGGGAACTGGGGCGGAAGACCAAAACCCAGAACATATGGGAAAACATGGGGAATCCTTTTATTTGTGTGTATTTATTTGTGTGCCCCAGGGCCCCTTCAATTGTGTTTGTCTTGTTGTGTGTGTGTGTGTGTGTGTGTCATCTGCTGGTCTGGTGCTGGCCCCCCCCGTCCGTCGGCGCCCGTCGCCGCCGCTCGGCGCCGTCGCCGCGGGGCTCTTCGGAGCCCGTCCAGCCGGCGCGTCGCCGCCTGGCTTTGTCCGTCGCCGTGGTCGCCTGGGCCGTGGTGGCGGTTCGGCGCCGGCCTGTCGCTCTGCATTGCCTTGCGTGGCATGCGTTGCTTTTTGCATTGCGTTGTCCTTAGCAGTGCTTTGCATCGCTTTGCATCGCTTGGCATTGCTTGGCATTGCTTGGCATTGCTTGGCATTGCTTAGCATTGCCTTGCATCGCCTTGCGTTACTTTTCGTGTCTTTGCATTGGATTCAGTGCTTTGCACACGTGATTGCAGCACATGGATTGCACCACCTATATTGCGCCACATTATGTGCGCCACCTACATTTCACCGCACATATTGCAAGAAACCACTATTTCGGATCTGCGCTGGCTAACATGTATATGTATATGCATTTGTATACCTGTGTATATACATATTGTGTAGGTAGATATTCATTCCTGCAGATACACATGTGTGGCATACTACGTAGTTCTCGACGTCCCCCCCGCAGAGTTCTCGTCGGCGTCGTCGTCACCCTCATCCTCCACAGGCCTTACTTGTCTTTCGCCACGGGTCCATGTTCGATGGCCCCCGGGCGCGAAAGAGCAGACAGCGGCTCCCTGGCGCCGATGCTGCGCACGCGTGGGGCGGGGCTGGGCGCCTCGGTTGCACCGTGAGCGCTCTCTTGGAATAAAACGACCGATCCTAGCCCTGTTTTATGGAAAGCCGGCAGGGCCGAAGACGGTGACGGCGACAGCGACGGCGTTGACGACGAACGACGATGGCGGCGACGATGGGCGGGGCGCCGTGTTGCACCGTGAGCGCTATCTTGGAAAGTCGGCAGGGCCGAAGACGGTGACGGCGACAGCGACGGCGACGGCGACGAACGACGATGGCGGCGACGATGGGCGGGGCGCCGTGCTGCACCGTGAGCGCTATCTTGGAAAGTCGGCAGCGCCGGAGACGATGACGGCGACAGCGACGGCGACGACGACGAACGACGATGGCGGCGAGGATGGGCGGGGCACCGTGTTGCACCGTGAGCGCTGTCTTGAGAAGTCGGCAGCGCCGGAGACCGTGACGACGACAGCGACGTCGACGACGGCGACAGCGGACAACGACGACGGCGTGCAGAGGCCGCCAACGCCGCCGCCCGCGGTGGCGGCAACGGTGCGGCTGGGGGCGGCGACCTGGACGCCTTCCTGCGGAGGTACCCGATAGACGCCCGCGCGCAGGACGTCGCGGCGACGCCGTCGACATCGTGGCATCGTCGTCGTCGTCGTCGTCGCTGCTGCGGTCGCTGGCGACAGCGATTACGACGACGTCGACTGCGACGATCACGGATGTGTTGACGGCGACGGCGGCGGCGACGGCGACGACGATGGGAACGACGACGGCGGCGAGGGCGACGGAATCGACGACTTGGGCAGCGGTGACGACGATGCTCTCTGCGGAGGTCGCCAGCGCCGACGACGAAGACGACGACAGCACCGACGACGACGAAGACGAGGACGACCCCCACGGCTGTGTCTGCTGTGCTCCGCCAGTGGTCGCCCACTACGCGGGAAGCGGGGAGGGGGTACAGTCGATCCGCAGAGTAAGGATGGGCATCCCTCCCAAGGCTACCCCTGCATCCTTGCTTCCCTGGGTCCATCCTTGGCCACTCTCGTTGGCCGCGCCCCGCTCGCAGAGCTTCGAGATGGGCTTCCAGGGCCCTGGCATCCTTCTCGCGCGTCCTCACTCTGCGGGTTGACTGTGCAGGGGCGTTTTTAATACATGCTCCGCGTGCGGACCATGTATTAAACATATAGGGTTGAGTAATACATACAAGGGTGAGTTCATGCATACATTTGTTCATACATTGATCATGTATTAAAAATCCCATATTTTAAAACATCCCATGTATTAAAAACTGCCCTGTAGGGAAGGGAGCCGCGAGGAGGACGCACAACCGCCACGTCTGCGGCAGGCCCGCGCCGCGCGCCCACGGCGCGCAGCCCCCCGGCGCGGGCGCTCCAGGTCGGAGAGCGCTGCTCGTGGCTGCGCGTCGGCCGATGCCGCGCCGGCGCCGTCGGAACGCCGCGATCGCTCGAGGTTGAGCGGCTCCCAGGGTGTCGTTGAGCAGGCGATCGCAACCAGGGATTACAGTCGACGCGCCTAGTAAGGACGCGTGCCTTCGTCGAGGATGCCCCTGCGTCCTTGCCTCTGTGGCCCGTCCTTTGCCGTTTTCTCTGGTCGCCCGCCGCCCTCAAAAACCCAACTTCGGCCTCCAAGGGTCTTGCGCCCTTACCACGCGTCCTTACTATACGTTTTCACTGTAAGTGGGCGTGGATTAGCAACGGGTCCCGTGTCCACGGGACATCGCGGGTTTCCGCCGCCGCGCGAGGCGGCAGCGGCCGCACTCGGGGCAGGGCACCGCCCCCGATGCATGGAGTTGGCGACCGCGCGCCAAAGCCACGGATCGCTGATCCATGTTTGCGCGCCCCCGACACACGGTGTCATAAACCTGCCACAGCTGTCATGGCACGAACCCTCTGCACTCCTGGCGACGTCGTGCAACTCTCGCACCTAGGAGAAAAGGGCATGCACACAAGCTGGGTCTCGGTTGGATGATGTCTGCACGCAGCATCGACCCATCCGATGATTGAGCATTCGCAGGCGCACTCTTCCTTCACGGAGGGGGGAGTGGTCCATCCGCTCGACCCGCCTGTCACTGATGGGGCCGACCTGCGACTGGGGGGAGCCGTTTGGCAGTCGTGTTATCGATATCGCGATGGCGGCAACCAGCAGGGCCACCCTGGGCAAGGAGATTCGCGACGCCTCCCGAGCTGAGGGCCGGCGATGTATCGAGCGGAGCGCCGAAAGCACAGCGACGTCACACCACCACGGGGACAGTGCCGATCATTGACGTTAGCGGTGCTGGTGTCGGGAACCATTGTGCGCTTCTGTCTAGACGGTACCGGAGCGCGGCCGAGTCTGTTGCCCCAGGAGGTTCTCAACACGGCGCCCCCCAACGTGCAGAGGAAGGTTCTCTCCGACTTCAGGCCGAGGCTCCGGGGGCTGGAGTGGCTCTTTCCCCTCCTTTGCGTCAGTGCTCCATCCTCTTTTTTATTTTTCTCCTCCTTTGTGTTAGTGGCTCTTTTTTTTTCCTTATCATCCTCCTCGCGTGTTCGTGCTCTACCGTTGCCCCATCCGCGTGGCAAAAGACCGCCGGAGACCGCGGCAGGCCTCCAGAGGCCGCCAGGGGCTGCCGTGGGCCGCCGCGCGCCGCCAGAGGCCGCCGGGGAGGGCGCCGAAGATCGCCTCGGAGGCCTCGGTGGCAAGTTGTCATGGGAGCCTCGTGTGTCCTCTCGATTCCGTCTTCGGCGTCGACTCTCGGGGGTGGACAGAACCCCCCCTCCGACGCGTCGATCAGCGAATTTTGTCCGTTTTCGCTTCTCGAGAGGGCGCCGCGGCCCTGATTTTCCAGGCTTGCGCCCGCCAGGTTTGGGCCCGAGGTCGCTTTCACTAAACCGCCTTTTACTAAGGGGGGTCTGTCCATAGATTAGCGTCGATGAGCGTCTGGGAGTCGCCACTGAAGCACTCGTTTTTTTTCGCCATGCTTCTCCTCTTTCCGCTTGTCCTCCGCGTCGTTGTCCTGTTGTTGCTCGTGCTCGTTGTGCTCCTCCTCTTTTTCCTCCTGCTCTTGACTCCAGTCTTCCTTCCTCTCCCTTCCTCTTCCTCCCTCCTCCGCCTGTCTTCCTCTTCTTTCCAACCCCATCGTCGTCTTCCTCCCTTCAATGTTCATCCGCCACATCCTCCTGCAATGTACACGATGGGTCACTTTGCGGATTCAGGTCTGCTAGGACACCAGTCGGCGGATGAAACATATCAGCCAGCGCAGTTTGAAGGGACCGGTCGGAGGGGTAGGATGGCAGGCAATGCCCGCGCGCACCCAGTTTGCCCCCTATCACATATCAACCCGACCGGTCACTGTAGCGCGCTGCCGCTTTCGTGCTCGAGCTAGCTTTCGATGGATGCGGTTGCAGCCCCCATGAGGGGAAGCGGATCTTGTTGAACGTCCCTGGACGGGCATCGTGCGCTTGTGTTTCGCGGTCGTGTTTATGCAGAAACAAGCTTGCCCCCATCGCCTCCCTTTCTCCCTGCTCCCCGTCCTCCTGCTCCCCCTCCACCTCGTCCCCCTTCCCTGCCCGTCCCTTTTGTATCGTCTTCTCTCCCTTGCCTGTCCACTCCGCCCCCGATCCCCTTAACTCCCTCCTTCCACCTTGCTCCTCTCCCTTCCCCCCCTCTCCTCCTCCTGCGCCTCCTCCTCCCCGTCCTCCAAACCAGCAGCTCAAGATGAGCGCTACCTTCCCTCCCCAGAATCTCCCTCCCTTGGAAACTGCACGCGTATTATTTACGCACGCAGGTGTCTTCACCTCTATACGCTGATACGTGTAGATGTGTTAGCCAGCGTGGACGGCAAGCAGTGAGTTCTAACAATCTATGTGCCGCAACCGATGTGGTGCCTTTCATGTTGTGCAATGTCTGTTGTTCAAGCTACGTAGTGCAATCTATGTTAAGCACTACATGTGGTATAAGCTATGTTGTGCAGTTGATTTCTGTTCGCAGTGACTTGTCCACTCCACTGCTCGCGCAATCATCCCACCCACCCACCCTCAACTTGGTTTGCAAAACCCTTGTGGCGGTTCCCATGAGTGCTTGGAGTTGGCTGGTGCGTCTCGGCGGCCCCGCTAGCCCGCGCATGCTCGAGCGCGCAACGGCCAGCTAGTTTGGCGCTATGTACGCGGCCGCTGTGGCGCTGACCGCCGGGCACTTCCCAGCGCGCACTTAGGTGCGAGTCGGCGACTTGGGCGGGTGCGGTATCAGGGCAACGTCGGCAACGGTAGACGCGATGATGACGGTATCGATGCTGGTGGCGATGGTGACAACGACGACGGCAAGTCCAGACACGGCGCCGACGCTGATCACGTCGGCGATCATGACGGCGCCCTCGCGTCGCTGATGAAGGTATTGGAGGGAGTTCGACATGCGCGCGCGCGGCCGACGCGCGAGAGTGGTCCGAATGGTCTTCTTCGACACTGCTCGTATCCCCCCTTCCAGCACGCGCGCAAAGGCGTACGAACGTTGTCGACGTGCTGCGCGAGGGGCCAGCTTGGCAGAATTTTGTACATTTGGTTTTCTCATGAATACGAGGGACGCGGGCGCAGGCATTTTTACAACCCGATGTTGGAAAGAGCGTGTTCTACCGCTGCTGGCGGAAAACGGGGGGGGGGTCACTACCGGTTCGAACCCCTCCGCCCCCCCCCCCCCACCGGAAAACCGGGGGGGTCACTACCGGTTCGAACCCCTCCCCCCCCCAACTCGTCATGAAAAGGGGGGGGGGTCACTACCGGTTCGAACCCCCCCCCCCTCGAAAACCGGGGGGGTCACTACCGGTTCGAACCCCCCCCCCCCCTCGAAAACCGAGTGGGGGTGCGGACAGTGGTGGGGACGGTGTTGGTGGGGACGGTGGTGAGGGGACAGCGGGACAGTGGTGGGGACAGTGGGACAGTGGGACAGTGGTGGGGACGGTAGTGATGGGGACAGTGGTGGGGACAATGGTGGGAACAGGGGGGGGCAGTGGACAGTGGTGGTGACGGTGGTGGTGGGGACAGTGGTGTGGGGACAATGGGAATGAGGTGGAAACAGTGGGACAGTGGAGGGTACAATGGTGGTGGGGACAGTGGTGAAGGTGGTGGCGAGGACGGCGGTGGGACAATGGGACAGAGGTACAGTGGGGACAGTGGTGGGGACAGTGGGGACAGTGGTGGGAACAGTGGGACAGCTCAGTGGGACAGCGGAGGAGTCAGTGGGACAGTGGGGACAGTGGGGATAGTCGGGCAGTGGTTGGGGCCGTGGAGACAGTGGGGAGAGTGGAACCGTGGTGGGAACAGTTCTGGGGACAGCGGGGACAGTGCGACAGTGGTGGGGCCACTGGTGGGGACAGTAGGGGCGGTGGTGGAACCAGTGGGGACAGCGGTGGTGAGGACAGTGGTGCTGGGAACCTTGCTTTTGACACCCTTACGACACCTCAGGTTTTTGACGGGTTTCCACGCGCGCGCGACGACGCGTGTGTGCGCCTTTCGTCCTGTTTTTTTGCAAGGGGATTCTTGCGACAGCTTTCGCGCAAAGGGCCCCGAACGATTTCGAGCAAGTTATATCAATGGTGAGACATCACTATTAAAAAAATCGCCAGAGCCCGAGCGCGAGATTTTCTTGACAGCCCTTGTCGCGTTTTTTTTTTTTTTTTTTTTTTTTTTTTTTTTTTTTTTTTTTTTTTTTTTTTTTTTTTTTTTTTTTTTTTTTTTTTTTTTTTTTTTTGTGTGTTATATATATATATATGTACAGAATATAGATATAGTCGGGACCAGTCGGTTAGCAAAATTTGTATGCGCGCGCGACGACGCGCGCGTGTACATTGCGTCAGTTTTTTGTTTGTTTGTTTGATAAGGGGGCACGGGATTATTGACATCTTGTGATTTGCTATAAGCGATTGTGCTACCATAGTGCTTTTCGCACAGGATGAGGGGGGAACCGACACAGGCCTGCTTGGGATGGTATGAGTTCATATTTTGGATGGGCGATGGGGCAGAATCGTATGTACATTGCAATACGAAAAGGTGGCCCGTTAAACCTGGGCGGGGAGGTCCCAATACATGCTCGCAGTGATTCGGCCACTCCACTGCTCGCGCAATCATCCCACCCACCCACCCGCAACTTGGTTTGCAAAACCTTTGTGGGGGCGGTCCCATGAGTGCTTGGAGTTGATTAGTGCGTCTCCGCGGCCGCGCCAGCCCGCGCATGCTCGCGCGCGCAGCGGCCAACGAATGCTGCGCTATCGAGGCGGCTGCGGTGGCGTCGGCCGTTGGACTCTTCTTGGCGGCAGTTCAGTGCGAGTCGGTGGCTTGGGCGGGCGCGGTATCATGGTGACGCCGGCAATGGTAGATACGATGGTTCGACTAGAGAAGTTGGTGGCGATGGTGGCGATGACGACGGCGGCCAGGCCAATGACGCCGCCGATGTTGATCACGCCCGCCGATCACGATAACGATGTCTTCGCGTCGTTGTGATGAAGGTTTTGGAAAGAGTTCGACATGCGTGCGCGGCCGACGCGCGCGAATGGCCTGCGTAATACTATTCGACACGGATCGCGGAACATTCGGAACATTCGTGTATGAATTCCATGTGGAACTTGGTGGTTTGTGGCGGATTTCGGCATGCGCGCGTGGCGATGCGCGCGCGTCTGCTATTCGTCTTGTTTTTCGCAAGCCATCCTTGCGATAGCGCGCGCGCAGGCGCCTTCGAATTATGCTGGCATGCGCGCGCGAATGGCCTCTGTGGTGGCATCATGTGAACATGCTGACAAATCAGGGTATTTCCAACGATCTGCAAGAACGCGAGCGCAACTTGTTTTTGAACAGCTGTGTTGCGAAACCTTGTGTTTTGGTTTGTTTTCGGGACGGTCAATTGTGAAATCAGTACGACGATTTTATTTAAAAAAGAAGCAGAGTTCGGCATGCGCCCGTGACGACGCGCTCGTGTGCACTTCGTTTTTTTTGTTTGTTTTGTGTGTGTGTGTGTGTGGGGGGTGAACAATTATTGGAAACTGGTGTCTTTTGGTAACCGAGTGTACGCGTGTAGTTTTTAACACAAAATATACAGAGGCGTTGGCGGATACATGTTCGCTTGGGATGGTACGAACTCATGTTGAGGACGGATGGATGATGGGACGGAATCGTTCGTATATTGCGATACACAAGGTGAGCCGTGAACCCTGGGGGATCGATCCCAATACTCGTCTAGACGGGGGAATCTGTGCGGTGCAACCGATATGATGCAATCCATGTGGCGCATTCTTTGTGATGCAATATAGGTAGCATGAGCCATGTAGTGCGATCTATGTAGCTGGATCTACGTGGTGTAGTGCATGTTGTTCGATATATGTGGTGCAACAGCTGTCTTGCAGCTCGCGTTGGGCAATCGTCGTGATGCAATTTATGTGGTGCAACCGATATTAAGACATACAGGTAGTGCAACTTGTGTTGAGCATCGCATGTGGTGCAGTCTCTGTGGTGCAATCCGTGTGTTCCAGCCTCTGCGGGGCAAACCGCGAGGCTCTCACAATCAACGCTGCCATTCACATGCGCCGGCGATGGGCGGCGACGGACGGCCATAAGCCAGCCTGGCCGGCACAGGGCCCGACCGGCGGCGGCGGCGGTCGGCGACGCGCGGCTACAAAGCCGACGGGATGCTTGGCATCGCTTGGACGTGTGCATTTTTTCTCAGCAAACACTTACGAAACCGAAAAATGCAAGGGAAACGGACGTCCGAGCGACGGCAAGGATGGGCACGCGGGGCCGGGCGGGCGGCGGCGGCGATGGGGCGGCGGCAGGCGGCCACAGGCAGGCTGTGCAGGCACAAGGGGGGCCAGGCGGCGGCGACGGGGCGGCGGCGGGGCGGCCAAGGGGCGGCTGGGGCGGCACACCAGCCCAGTTCAGTCGACAACAAGCAAGATCCCCTAAATTCAGGAGGGGGAAAAACACAGACACAATTAATCGTCGATTCCCCAGAAAATATGGGAAAATATGGGAAGTGGCGGGGAAGACAAAAACCTAGAACATATGGGAACATTTGGGGAATCCTGTTATTTGTGTGTATTCATTTGTGTGTTCCAGGGCCCGTTCATAAATGCAAACGCTGTTTTGGGAAATGTCGTGCCACCGCTGCAGCGTTGGCCTGACTTCAGGATCGGCGCTTCGCCCCCGTCGTCCGGGATGGCGCTCTCTCGCCCGGGCGCAGGCCGCTTTCTTGGATCCGGTGCCTTCCCTGTCGCCGTCGTCCCCTCCTTTCCCCTATCCGCCTTCCCCCGGTCCTCCTGCTCCTCGTGCTCCTGCTGCTGGTTCTGCTGCTCCTCCCTCTCCTCCTCTGTCCTCGCCCTCTCTATCATTCCCCTGATCTTGCTCGTCCTCCTGCTCATCCTCCTGCTCATCCTTCGCCTCCTCCTCATTCATGCTTCCTCCTCTCCTCCTCTTCCTCCTCTGCCTATGTGCACAGGTCCCCTTTCTCTCATTACCAGGGGACCTGTCGGCGAATAAAGCGCAATGAGGAGGGATGGGAGGGGGAAGTAAAATGTCAGACAGAGCGGGAGCGTACCTGCATTGTTCTCTTTTCTCCCCCCTCCAACCGCCTACCCCCTCGCTCTCTCCTCCTCCTCCTCCTCTTCCTCCTCCTCTTCCTCCTCCTCCTCCTCCTCCTCCTCTTCCTCCTCCTCCTCCTCCTCCTCCTCCTCCTCCCTGATCCCCTCTGCCCCTCCCCCCTCCCACCTCCCCATCTCCTCCTGCTCCCTTCTCTCTCATTCCTCCTTCCCCCCTCCACCTCTCTTCCCTCCTCCCCCTTCCCGCTCCTGGACCCCCTCCCCCCTCCCCTGCCCCCACTCTGCTCCCCCTCCGCCCCTCATTCCCTCTTCCCGCCCTCCCCTTCTCCCCCCCCGCTCCCCCTCCCCCGTCCCAGAGGCAGGAGGGCGAGAGCGACTACTCTGCCGCGGTGGTCTCCTTCGTCGGCCTCTGCCGCAGGACGGCGGCAACGCAGGGGCGAGCCGCCTTCGCGGGGCCGCCGGGAGGCGCGCGCGAGACGTCGACGCCGTCGCCGTCCCAAACCTCCGGCCTTTTTTCTCGATCTGGTCGATTTTCGCTTAATTGGGTAGGTCTGACGGCTGGTGCCGCCGACCCTGAAGGGAGGCGACGACGACGGCGGCGACGAAGACGACGCTGACGCTCTGGAGCCCCTTTTGGGGGGCTCTTTTGGGAGCCTCTTGGGCTCTCTTGGGGGGCCTCCCTGGGGACCTCTTGGGAAGCTCCGTGGTCACTTGGGGCCGTCTCGGCGCGGGTCGGATGCCTCGTGGGGGCATGTGGGGAGCACGCAGCACCCCGCAGCAGCACACACGAGGGAGGAGGGTGCCTCCGGGGGGCGGGGGGAGGCTCGGGAGGAGGGGGTGGAGGCGGCCCCCTTGTCCACAGGGGGAGGAGGGGGCTGCGGGCGCCTCCAGGGGGGGGAGGTCCGAAAGGAGGCGGGGGGTGGAGGTGGTCCCCTTGTCCACAAGGGGGAAGGCCGGGGGAGGGGGGTCCTGAGCGATCAGGGGGGCCACCCCCCCTGACCTTCCAGAGCGCTAGGAACTGGCACTCCAAACCTATAGACCTGTCTGGACTGTTTGAATCGGGGGCCACGTGCGAACCCTACCCCTACCCCCCAGGATTTCTGAGGGGGGGAGGGTGGGGTTCACTTCGCTCGCGAGCTCCCGAGCGAAGTGAACCCCACCCTCCCCCTCAGAAGTCTTTGGGCCAGGGGCAGGGTTCGCACGTGGCCCCCCATTTAAAACCTCGACTGGAATCTGGGCATCTGGGTCCAGGTGCTGCTCTTTGGCCCTCCTGGAGGGCCCGGGCCCCCGTCCCCCTCGACTGCTAGGGGCCCCCCCCCCCGGCGGGCGGTTACGACCCCCGGGAAGCCTCCTGGGGCCCCTCCTCCTCCTCTTCCTCCTCCTCCTCCTCCTCCTCCTCCTCCTCACCCTCCTCCTCACCCTCCTCCTCTTCCTCCTCCTCCTCCTCCTCCTCCTCCTCCTCCTCCTCCTCCTCCTCCTCCCCCCTGGGGCAGGGAAGGGGTCGGAGGGAGGGCCCTTCCCTTCGAGCCCACTCGAGACGTCGTTCGATATTTCCGCCTGGCTGGATCGCTCGAGGAGAACTGACCCAGGACAAGGGGGGGGAGCGACGACGACGAGGACGACGAGGACGACGAGGACGAGGACGACGACGACGACGACGACGACGACGAGGACGAGGAGGACGACGACGACGACTAGGACGACGAGGACGACGAGGACGACGAAGCCGACGACGACGGCCATGGCGACTTCAACGGAAAGCCGCCTCACGCGCCCCAGCAGGGTCGGCGGACTTCGGCCCCTGGGCCCCCTCATTCTCGGCCCCTGGGCGTCCAGCTCCGCTTCCCTTGGCCGCCACGCGGGCCAGCTGCCGGGGCGACGCGACGACCCTGGCCGGGACCTCCCGGGCCGCGGGCGGAGCAGCAGACCCCGTGCCCCTGCTTGGCATCGCTCGGACGTGTGCATCTTTCCTTCGGCGAGGACCATCGAGGAGCATCCTTGATCATTTGGCGAAACAACCACGCACGGAACCGGAAACAAACACAGGACATGGGCGTCCGAGCGATGGCCAGCTGTGGCCGTCGCCGGGCGACCTCTGACCCGGCGTCGGCCCCCCCCCCCCCGCAGGCCCTCGGGGAGGGGTGCGCGGCCGCGGAGATGGGTGCACGCGCCGCTCCGCGCGGCCCCGGGCCTCGTGCCGCCGTGCCGCAGGGGCGTCCCCCCGCAGGAACAGAAGGGCGCCCTCGAGGGCGCGGAGTTCTTCGCGCTTCGCGCCTCGCGGCTCGGCTCCGAGGCCTCCTTGTCCTCCTCTGCTCCCCTGGGAGGCGGCGCGGGAGCGCGGAGGCGTTCGCACTTGGCGCCTCGCGCAGCGCGAAGCGCGACGTTGGGAGCCCTTTGAGGAAGGTGGGGTCCAGGGCTCGGGCTGCTGGTTTTCGCGATGCTGTCGAATGCTGTGTGCGGCGTCGGTTCTCAGGGTCGCCGTCCTCGTCGTCTTCTGGCCGAGCGTTGATGTCCCCAGCGCGGTCTCCGCCAACGCGAGGTGCAGGTGGCTCTGCGCTCTCGATATAGCGCGCGGGGCGCGTGGCATTCGCGCCTCGACCTTCCCACCTTGCTTCGTTCTGCCTCGTGCCTCATCAGTTATCCCGCCTCCCTCCCTCCCTCCCTTCTTCCTGTCCTCCCCCGCACCTCCTATTCTCCTTCCCATGCTCCCTCCCTCCCTCCTGCCTCCGAGCCTTCTTCGCATCCAGCGGCCCTCTGGGACGTCGTGAGGTCCAGAGGACGACGAGAGGAGGCGGAGGAGGAGGGGCCAGGATTATGATGCTGCTGCTGATGATGATGCCGATGATGATGCTGCTGCTGCCGCTGATGATGATGATGCTGATGATGGTGATGCTGGTGGTGGTGCGGGTGCTGATACTGATGCTGGTACTGGTGCTGATGCTGCTGCTGCTGATGATCCTGATGATTATGATGATGCTGATGATTTGGATTATGCTGCTGATGATGGTGATGGTGATGGTGATGGCGATGGCGATGGTGCTGATGCTGATGCTGATGCTGATGCTGATGATGATGATGATGATGATGATGATGATGATGATGATGATGATGATGATTGATGCTGATGCTGATGCTGGTGCTGATGATGATGACGACGATGCTGCTGCTGATGATGATGATGATGCTTCTGCTGTTGTTGATGGCGTTTCTGATGATCATGACGATGACGACGATGATGATGATGCTGATGATGCTGATGATGATGATGATGATGATGATGATGATGATTGTGATGGTGGTGGTGATGGTAGTGATGCTGCTGATGCTTCTGATGATGGTGCTGATGATGATGGTGGTGGTGGTGGTGGTGGTGATGCTGCTGATGATGATGCTGATGGTGATGCTGCTGATGTTGATGATGATGCTGATGATGATGCTGATGATGATGATGATGATGATGCTGATGATGATGATGATGATGATGTTGAGGATGATGCTGATGCTAACGCTGATGCTGATGCTGATGATGACGATGATGACAGTGATGACGCTGCTGGTGATGGTGATGATCCTGATGATGATGATGATGATGATGATGATGATGCGGATGCTGATACTGTTGTTTATGTTGATGATGCTGATGATGCTCATGATGATGCTGATGCTGATGCCGATGCTGATGTTGATGACGACGACGATGCTGATGACGGTGATGATGATGATGATTATGATGATGATGCTCCTGACGATGATTATGATGAAGATGTTGCTGATGCTGATGCTGATGCTGATGCAGATGTTGATGATGCTAACGATGCTGATGCTGATGCTGATGATGCTGAAGCATGATGATGGTGATGCTGATGCTGATGTTTAAGCTGATGACTATGATGATGATGCTTGCTGATGCTGATGCTGCTGCTGCTCAAGAGGATGATGATGCTGATGATGATGATTATGCTGCTGATGCTGATGATAATTGATGATGCTGATGATGATGCTGATGAGGATGATGCTGCTGATGATGCTGATGGTGATGATGATGGTGGTGGTGCTGATGATTATATGATGATGATGAGCAGGAGGATGAACCATAGCAACAGTAGGATCGGTATCAATTGTATTCATAATTCAAAAGGAGAGAGGGATGGGAGCATATAGGAGGACGACGAGGAGCATGGGACACGAAGGCGGGCACGCGGGGCAGGAGTGCGACTCAGAGGAGGAGGAGGAGGAGGAGGAGGAGGAGGAGGAGGAGGAGGAGGAGGAGAAGCAGGAGGAGGAGGAGGAGCAGGAGGAGCAGGGAGAAGAAGGATGAGGAGGTGGAACAGATTGAGGAGGCGGTGGTGGTTGAGGCTGGAGCCCAGAAGAGCTCCCTCTGCCTTCACCTCCTCCTATTACTCCTCATCCTCCCTTCCTTCTCGTCATCTCTTCCCTCCTCCGTCTGTGGCTGTGGCAGTAGAGTGGTAGCCATCGGAGTCCATCTAGACGCTGCCATCCCCCTCCCCAGGGGTGGCCGCCCTTGGGGGAAAGAGAGGTCAAACTAGGATATACCTAGGAAGAAGACCCCAGGGGGGGCGGGTGCGCCCCTGCACGCGCCCCCCGGGGGGGGGGGGTCAAGGAAGGGCGGGACGGCGGGGACGACGACTGCGACCGACAAAGGAAGGGAGCGGGAGGGGCTCCCCACTGCGACTGACGAAGGAGGGGCTGGGGTTAGGTCGGGCGTGTCCCCATAAAAATACCCCGAAAGTACCCCAAAAAGGGAAACAATATTTTAAAAATAGTTCCCATACTATTTTTGGACCATTTTTGGATAATTTTTGGTGCATTTTTTACCTTTCGTCGAAAATCCCCCTGTAGGGGGGACAGGCCCGACTTGAGGCTGGGGCGGGGCTCCGGCCCGAACCCCCTCCGCCTCAGGCCCGCCGTGGCGCCCCGCGGGCCCCGCGCCCGCCGCGGGCGCGCCCGGCGCGCCCCGCGGCGCCTGGGGCGGCTCGCCGCCGGGCTTCCACGGTGGCCCGCTGCTCCGGCGGCCCTCGCGGGCGGCCCTCGCGGGCGGCCCCCCGGCGGGCCCCCCTCGGAGGCCGCCCGGCGGCCGTCGGCGGCCCCCCGAGGCCCCCTCGGAGGCCTCGAGGACGGCCCTCGCGCGGCCTCTGCGGGCCGTGTGCGGCCGCGGCGCGGAGGGCGCGGAGGGCGGCGGGGGCGAGCGGTGGCGTCGTCGCAGCGGCCCTCTCGTGGCCCTCCTCCTCGCCGTGTTCCCTCCCGTCGCCGCCGTCCTCCTCGTCCTCCTCCTCCTCCTCCTCCTCCTCCTCCGCCTGCTCCTTCCCCCCAGCTCCGCTCCTTCGCCCTCGTCTCCGCCTTCGCGTCTCTGCCGGTGCGGCGCCGCGTGCCGATGCAACGCTGGCCTGAGCAGAGCAGGGCAGAGGCGGGGCATGGAGGCGTGCGGCTGCTCGGAAAAGGCCCGGTC